CCCCCCCCCTCAGCCGCGGGGCGAAGCGCCCCGGCCCCCTTCAACCGCCCTCTGCCCTGTCGGCCCACCACAGTCACACAACCCGAAGGCCGGGCCGCCTGGGCCGGGGAGGCCGTTGCCCGCCTCAGAGCGGGGTCTCCGGGGTCCAGGCGGCCGGGCCCGGCCGGCATGGGCGTCCCAGACGCGGTCCCAATAGGCTTGCTCCTGTTTCCGGTCTGTCCCGTCAGCCCAGTCTCTGGTGTTTCCCTCCTCTCGTGCTCCCCGGCCCTGTCCCCGACTGCCCTACTAGGTCCTCCCCTCACCCGCAGCCAGCTTGGTGTCGGCGGCCCGCAGGGCCCAGTCGGCGGGCGCCGAGGGCTGTCGGCACCGGTGAGGGCTCGGCCGCTTCATCCTCCCTGTGGTGTCCCACACTGCGGCTGGGCAGACTGAGCACAGACAGTCTCCTGGCCAGAGAGTGGACACTTGGGGATGGGAACAGATGGCCCACTCCCGCCCTGCACGCCTGTCCCTCTGCCCGAGCCCTGGGGAGGAGAGTCGGGGTCCCTGGGCCCCATGTCCCACCTGCTCTCCCCTCCCGCTGTGGCAGGCGCGTGCCAGCTGCTGGCAGGCGTCTGGCAAAAGGGGGCTTAAGGCCGCCAGCACCCCGCGCCGAGCCGGCTGGTCTTGTGAGCACACGTGTGTGTCCGCGCAGGCTCGCACACAGATCCGACTGCCCTTCCCGGCCTTTCCCTCCTGGCGCCTCTGGCAGCTGTTTCTGCTAGCCAGCGCTTGCTCGCACGCTTTTGTTTTATCTGCTGCTGCAGAGAGGGTCTTACTGACGCACAGATCCAGCCAAGGGCAGGTGAGTCGCTCAGTGAACTCACACACCACGTGCCGGCCTCGCAGAACAGCACCCCGGCACCCCAAAGCTTGCAGCCTTTCCCGTCAACTGCCCGGCCCGCCTCAAAGGCCACATTCTGACATCTGTCCTCCCGGATTAGCTGGATGTCCAGTCCACGTCGGCAGAACCAGCTCTTTCTGGGCCCCTCCGGCTCCCCGGCTGAGGATGCCGTGTCTGCGGCTCCCTGAAGCTCTGGGCCATGGGCAGCCCGCTCCCGCCTCACTGCAGCGCCCGGCGCCTTTGCAGGTCGGGGGCCTGTGACCGTCACTGACCCGCGTCCTGGAGGTGGGGGTGCGAGCGTTTATTTCCTGGAGGGTGTGTGAGGTGCTGTGGAGGGCAGGGCCAGAGGGTGGGTCTGTGTCCAGCTTGAGACCCTGTGGCCGCCCAGACTGCCACGCAGGCGTGCGGGGCTCTCCCTGACCTGGCGGTCACTGGCACCAGGGGCTCTGTGGTGGAGGCCATCACTGCTCGGTCACACGTCCCAGGGGCTGGGCCCCTGGGCTGAGTTCTGGCCGCTGTTGTCCATCACTCATGGACGGACATTCTTTCCAGTACATCCTTGCACCAGCCTTTGGGTATTTATTTCCCTATGGAAATTCTTAGGCGTCAAGCGTGACCACAGCAGAATCTTTGGCTCGCCATCGCCAGACCCTTCCCCAGGAAGCTGCAACGGATGTTGCTGTATTTCGGCGGTTGGTGTATTTTTTTCAAAATCAAGCACGCGCGTGTAAATGTCTTTGGCTCCGGGAGCCGCATGCGGACTCAGCACAGAGCTGTGCCCTGACCGTGCCGTCTGTAAGGGAGCCGACAGCCGGCCCTGGTGCCAATAAAACTTTATTTATGAGGACAGGTGGTGGGTCAGTGGGCCTGCGGGCATGGGCTGCAAACCCCACTTTATTTGGCGGGTGCTTCGTAGGGTCGACTCCGAGAGGCCGGAGGTCTGCTGTCGGGGAGCGGAAGAGCCCTGGGCTGTCTGCAGGGGCGGGGGGTCGCCCCAGCCGAGCCCTCTCCACCCGGCAGCCACCTGGGCTCCTGGAGAGTGCGGCTGGAGCGTGTTCTGGGCAGAGCGCGTGAGCTGGGAGTCCGCGGACCGCTGACAAGTGACTGTCGGCCACGGTGTGCTTCTAGGAAATCTGCCAACCTGAAGTCGAGTGAGACCTCTGAGGCGAAGTCAAAGGGCGGGAACGAGAACTACGGCTACCAGGAGGAGGGGCCGCAGCCCACAGGTGCGTGGACAGGCGGGCGCAGGGCCTCGAGGCACATGGCCCCACGGGGTGAGCTGCGCCGGCTGAGGGCAAGGGCGCGGCTCTGGGCTGGAAGGACTGGAGGGTCCGTGAGCCGGGGCCACCCGCCAGTGTGTCTCAAGTTTAAAGTACAGCGAGGGGACCATCGAGGAGTCTGAAAAATAATCACGGTTCATGCTTTCAGATTTTTTTTGTATTTTTCATGACTTCTTTAAAGGCTTTTCACCCATCGAGGGCAGCTTCCTTGCCTCAGTAAAAACAAACTCAGCAAGGAATCGGTTCTTCTCCACATTGCAGGTGTTGAGAACCGAATGTTGCCATCTTGTAGCGCCCAAACGTCCCACCTCAGTGATGCAGCCACCCCAGGCGTCTCTGAAGGTGACCCCCCTACCCCTGTGACCAGTGAGCAGAGGGGAGGATTTGAACTTGGGTTCTCCGAGGTCATAGAAGGTAGATGAGAAGGAAAGGCACACGTGTCAGAGCTGGGGGCTGGTCCTGGCCAATTACCCAGCCACACAGACTCCACGCGAGGATTTTCAGTTAATTCATTCTTGTTTCGAGTTCTGAAAATCTTCTTTTTTTCAGTCCGACGGGGCTGGTACTCTCAGGAGCCCTGTCCCCCCCGTGCTGTACTGGCTGCTTCCTACGGGCTTTCCAAATCGTATGCTGCAGGTGTAAAAATATCCTCCGGAGCACTGACTGTGTCCTTTGATAATCTGACCACAGGCTCTGGCAAAAGCCGCTTTAGGTGAATATTTCCTCATCAGTAACTCATTAGCATTCTGAGCAATTAGTCGAAATCTTGCCCAGCGCCTAGCCTTGTATTTATTTTTCTTGGCCAGTCATGAAGCTACGGGCTCATCTTGTCTCTGGACGAGACTAACAATTCAAAAAGGAATTGATTTGAGTTAGTCTGCTCTGTTTTCATTTCTTAGAAAAATAGTCTGTAACCTCAAGGGAACTTTAAAAAAGTCCCTCTGGTGAGGATTACTCAGCTGCAGGGGAGCTACATCAAAGAAAGCAAAGCTGCATAAATCAGGTTGCTGAACGCTTGGGCTTGGCCACCTTCCTGAAACCCTTCTCCGTTGCAGCCACCACGTCCCTCCCGTCGAAGCTCTGTGCGCGGGGTGCCCCGGACCACAGTGCCGGCAAGCAGCCAGGCCCGGTAAGTGGCCCACTGCCCTCCGCCGGCCTCTGAAAGCTCCTGCTTCCTCCTGGCGCCCCTCGCCGCTGCGGGCCGTGTGGTCGGGGAGGAAAGGGCGCTTTGCTCACTCTGCCGGCTGGGGCGAGTGGCCGCCCGTCCCCTGCCCCGGTTGGCTGGTGGCGGCTGGAAGGCCAAGGCCGGTCCCCGTCCCCGCGCTGGCCTTTGCCGGGAGGGCGGCTCGGCTCGGTCTGGGACGCGTGTGCCGTTTGCTGCTCCTGCCGATGAAGGCCTTGGGCTTCATTTCAGCTCCGCCCCCGGGCACCCAGCACCCACGTGCCACGTGTTTATCCTTGGGGCCCTGGGGACTTTGGCTGAGGGGACGGTGCTAGGTGCTAGGTTGAGGGGCTGGACAGAGAGGACATGGTTTGCCGGGGGTACGATCTATGCCGGTGCGCTCAGGGCTGCAGAATCGCGGGGAGCAAAATTTGTGGGCGAGAGGAGACCCAGCTGAGCGAGGGATATGTGGCCGCCCACTGGGCCGGCGGGCACCTCTGGGCGGCCGGAGGTGCCGCTAACTGAGCGGGCGCCTGGGGGCCCGACTGTCTGGAGGTGTCTGGTAGTCGCCCCCCGGTGGTGTGGAGGGGTGGTTGGCGGTCAGGGTGGCCTTCTGGGGGAGCCCCTTCCCAGGACTCCAGCTGCAGGGGGCAGCCCGAGGGCCACCAGCGCGGGCGTCTCTGACACGGAGTCCGAGCTGGCTGCCGGACACGTAGGAGCGAGGGTCCGTCTGCGGAATCCGGGTCTTTATGTCCAAGCCGCGTCAGACGGACACACACAGCCGCCACTGCTGTCACCCTGTGCACGTGCGGCGTCAGCTGAGAAGTCACTGGAGGCGGTCCCAGAGCTCCCGCGAGCACGACGTGCCCCTCCCGGCTTTCGGGGGCTGCGCTCTTGTGGAGGTCACTCTGGCGGGCGCACAGCTCACACCACTGCGGCGCCGCCTGCCTGGAGCCCGGGGGATCTTTCTCTGCTCCTCTGGGAGCCTCCCCGGGGCCCTCAGTTCTGCGGCCCGCTGTTGGGCTGCGTTTGGGGACACTGGAATCGCATACTCTAAGAAGGGCTTGGGGTCCCATTCTTGCTGCACCAGCCGTCAAAAACTTCAATTCCGTCGACATCGTGTTTGGTTCCCGAAAGCTGGAACCCCGCACTGTTTTCCTGTGCTGTCAGGAAAGCCCCGTGAAGGGGCTCCAGGGCCTCAAGGCTCCGGCTTCCGTGTGCGCAAGTCACCCCCGGTGCCCCGCTGCATTATGTAAGATGCGAGATGCAGCCGCAGGTCCCGAGCGGCTGGTGCTCTTGACGGCAGGAAGGCCAGCTGCGCACATCCCAGCAGGACGCTCCGGGCGGGCGTGGCCAGAGCGGTTTGCATGGAGCGCAGGTGGGGTGGAGGGTGCGTCCCCCGTCCCGGCAGGAGCCAGCACCCCCCGCGCCCCAGGAGACGGCCAGCTGGCCTGTGTGGGCTCGGTTTGCCCCTCCTTCAGAAGGAATGTGTTACAAAGAAGGTTAGAGGCCTTTCCTGTATTTCAGAGGAAAGCCAGCATTTCCACAGGAGAAGGGAAGTCAGGGGAACATGGCCGCTTGGCCTCCGCCCCCTGGCTTGGCTCCCGGGCCTTCGCTCTGTGGGTTTGCGCGTGGGCATCTCCGTGGGCAGAGCGCTGCATTATGGGACACAGGATGTCTCGGCTGCCCTCCGCCTTCCCGCCTGCCCTCCCTCGAGCTTCTCCCATAAGGGCGGCTCCTTCCCCAAGCTGCTCTCAGGCTCGCCTCCCCGGTTCAATCGCTCCTTTTCCTCTGTTGGCAGGGACCAGGCCATCACCAGCCATCAGCACATTGGCCACAGGCAGCCTTTCACGTGGCCAGTCCTAGGAGGGTCAGGAATGCCACGGTAGTGTAGCGAAGATGCCACTGGGTCCCTTGCCTCTCATCTCCAGGATGTCATGTCCCCCCACCCGAGGCCCAGAGGACGTGGTGCCGGACCCCCTGGGCAGGTGTCTGACACAGGGACGGAGTCCACTTCCCAACTTCCAAGTAGGATTTGCACTTTACACGTCTCGGATTTCCACGGATTCTATGTCCCCGAGTGAAAGCTGGGCGCCCTGTGGGAGGCCCCCCCAACTCCTGCTGCTCATCTGATCAACAGTAGCTCAGTCTCCAACCCGATGCGGGATGCTCCTATCTGCTCGTCACCTGAAGATGGCGTTCGTGGGTGCTGACTGTGTGGGGCATCACCAGGGAAAAAAGAACACAAAAATTTGGGTCAGCCAGAAATTGAAAATTGTCTGGAAAATCAGAACTTGCAGATTAAATGAAATTAAGCTCTGTAAAAACGAAATGCTGAAGCTTACGCGAATGGACATTCACACAAAGACATTCGCTTTTGCCTGCTCCCTTCAGGCCTCACGCGACTCAGGTGTGGGTTAGGTGTGTGGGGACGGACCTACGAACACCGATGCCGTGAACAGCTGCAAATGGTAACATGTTTTTTTAATAAATAAGGAGAAAATGCCAACGAACTCGTGTTGCCTTTCTTCACTCTGGACTACTCAGGTGGTGATTTGAAGACCTTTGCCCCACAATGAGTCACCTAAATGTGGCCATTTGCAGACACTGCTGCCTTTTCCAATATTTTTTGTTTGTTTTCCAGCCTCCCTCTCAGTGCCTTTCCCTGCCCATCCCATCTCTTCATATAGCCAGGGAGAAAGTCTGCTCTTTGACTGAGCTCTGCCTTGTGTGGCACCGATTTCAACAGCGCTAGAAACCGCACCCAACTCCCATGGTATTACCAGAATTTGACTTACCGTGTTAGGACTGTGGTGAATTCCTCACAGACACCAAGTAGCATCGAACTCATCATGCTCTTGTTTTCACCACTCAAGACTCCTGCTTGCCGATCTAATACTACAGTGATTTAGAAAATATTTGTATTATCTTAAGTCACCTTCAGCTCCTACCCTGGATCCATCATTCATGAGTTGGCAAATAACTCAAGGGTATTGGTGGGAACACGAGACCGACTGGTTGGCACCAACACAGTCTCTGTTCTGACTGGTCGCTGGTGACCCATTATCCATTCGGATTGGCTCGGACCCATCAATGTCTGTCTGTGGTTGGTGTTCGTAGCTTTCTGATGATCAAATACCTTGAATATCACTGCTGCCTGGAGGTTCCTGAGCAACAAAGCATCTCTTCTAGGACCGTGTTCCTAAAGTGACGCTGGCTTGTTTTCAATGGAGCAGAGCTAAAATTTCAAAAATGCACAAATATCACCATCATTTGCGTAAGAGGCCCCCCACCCTTTTAAAAGACTTCCCAGGTTTTTTTTTTACGATTTATTTATTAATTTATGCATACAAGAACTGGGATGCTGGCCAGAGGTGCAGGGGGGCGAGAGGACTCCCCAGAGACAGAGTGGGGAGCAGAACAGGCAGAGCCACTGAAACCCACTGCTTGAGGGGGCAGCGGGCAGACAGGAGAGTTCTGCTGTTCCCTGGGGGTCCCTCCCTGGCCCGGTTCCAACTCAGGCTGCACTGGCTGCGGGCAGCTTCACAGTGCTGTGTTTTAACCCCTTGTGACACCTGCGAAGCCCTTAACCCTTTTTATGGAAAACGTTGCCGACTTGACTGCTTAAACACTGAGCTCTTGCTTATACTAATGACTTGGCTCCTCCCTGCCTGTGCGATTCTGCCCCTTCCACGGTCCTTGAGTGGCCACAGGAGGCGAGGGGCGTGCAGCTTCCTGAGCCCTTAGGTGGAAGTGCTGGGGCAGACTCCACGCTCTTCCCTTCCTGGTTTATCCCCCCAAGCCACCAGCGAACCAAGACCCGAGAGCGGCTCTTGGGATCCCGTGTCGCTGACGCCTTTTGTGACCTTTACAGAACCGAGCACGTTTCGTAGCTATTAGACGAGCAGGCCAACATTGAGAAAGGCAGGATGTGGCGTACGGTGAGTCTTCGCCATCGCTGCTGCAAGAGGTATGTTTCTGTGGAGACTGGGACTGGGGACCCGCATGTGGAAGTGGTGAACTCGGGGCGCAAGGCCAAATGGCCTTCGTAGACATTTCTCCAACGTAGTATGTGCTGGCTGACTCACTCAAATACTTTTCATTTACCAGACTAGGGGAGTTCGGTTGTGCCACGAGACTTGGTTTCTGCAGGAGAAGTAGTTCTCAAAGGGGTCGCCGGCCAGTTTTTAATCTCCTAAGAGGTGGATGAGGAGCCTGAACAGAACTACCGCGAACAGCGCTGTCCAATGCCACGGTCACAGGTGGCTCTGTACCCCTAAATACTGTGAGCTGAAAGACAATTTAACAGGCATTTCTCAGCTGCGTGAGCTGCAGATCAAGGACTCAAAAGCCACATGTGGCCAGTGACCATCATAGAAAGTTCTACCCACAGTGCTGACCAGAACCAGCTATAAGGAATGACCTTGGTCAAGGACAGATTCTTTTACACAAACTCACACTCCATGTTTTTCCTCAGTGTTGCGTCTGGGCTCTCACCAATTTCGATTTAGGAATCTTGCAAACCCCGAGGCAGCTCTCAGCCGAAAATGGTGTTTTGTGGATGTGGGAACTTCATCTCACACTCCGCAGTGCTGGGAGCTGGAGTAGGCTGGGCTGCGTGGGGGGAGAGGAGCCCGTCCGGCGCAGGACACGGCCTCGGCGCCTGCAGAGGGCAGCCACGGCTCTCTGCTGACGCCGCCGTGCCTCCCCTCCCGGCCTCAGTCAGGAACCCCGGCCAGGGAGGCCAACCTGTGGCCCCTGACCTGGGGTCCTGCCCCAGGAAGCCTGACCGCTTACTTAGTGCTGGACTCAGTGCTGAGTCCACAAGGGGCGTCCCTGGGGCGCTGGGAAAGGGGCCCCTGTGTGCCCGAGGTGGCCCCGACCTGGGTGCTGAGAGCAGCACTAAGCGGAGTCCCCAGGAGCTCCCTGACCTCGAAGCCGCAGGAGGCCGCGGCCCTCTTCACAGCCCGCATCGAAGAGCTGTGGGCAGGGCGCGCCCT